GTGAAGGTCAGAGGATAACTGAGAATAGTATCAGTCTTGGCATTCTACTGCCTTTTATTTTTCTCTGCTACAAATACCAGGCTAGCTAGACCGTGAGCTTCTCAAGAGTCTCCTGTTTCTGCCTCTATCTCACACTGGAGGAACAATGGGCTTACAGATACTCAATGGTTCCAGTTTTACCTGAGCTCTGGGGATCTGAACCCAGGTCCTCATACTTGCACAGCAAACACTTTAGCCACTGAGTCACTTCTCTAGACCTCACCTCATTTTAAATGGGTCACCAGGAGCCCCACAGATCCCTGGACCTGATACTGCGACTAGTCCTGGGGCATTCTTTCTATCTGCCTGTCTGTCTGCTTTCTGTGTGTTCAAGGACAGAACAAGCAGAATGGATTGCCTGCAGTCCTCACACCTTAGGTTGGCCACTCTAATACCCTGGCTAAAGATGGCAGCACCCATATTGCATTGGTCATCCTGATAACTTAATTCAGGAACTCACAACCAGCCAAAGTGCAGAGAATACATGTCAGTGGAATGCCCAGGCACAAATGGAGCCTTTTATCACTACCCCACAATGCTCAGAGGCCACTGAGGAAGAGGGGACAGGAAGATTGTAAGAGCTAAAGGCCAGGGAGGACCAGACCATAACAGTGTCTTCTGAACTCATGAACTCACAGCAACTGTGATTACCTGCACAAGACTACAGAGGTCAAGTCAGTCAGTGTTCTAGTGGGAGTGGAGAGGGGCTCTTGATCCTGCACCCCAAACTGGGGAACTATGGGCTATTTATGACTTCTTAGAAGGGAAGAAAGAGTCAATTTTCTTTTAAGACTATGGCTGTTGGTGGGTTAACTATGCCCCAGTGGACAGTCCCACACCCACAAGTATAAGATCGGCACAAGTCTGAACAGTACTTGATTTGTACTAATATCTGAGACTGGAAAGGTAGGTTGTTTGGTTTTTTGTTTGTTTGTTTTGCTTTAATTTCACTTCAGAGCTGATGTTAATGGGTCCTTACCCAAGGAGTCAGAAACTAAAGAATAGGGTGACTGTCTCTTATACACTAAAGGCTTATGTTCAATTTGAATATTTCTCATACACTTAGTTGTATGAGTTTCTTTCTGTGAACTGAACACAAAACTCAGGAATTGGTGGATTCATATGTAAGTCCTTTAAACAATGTATAATTGACCTTGAGTTTTGCCAGACTATGTGACTTGACTTTGAACATTCTGATCTGAGGGTTATCTCTCTTCATAAATGGATTCACAATGAAAAAAAAAAAAGATCGGCACAAATTGAACTCGGGGTTATTTAAAAAAAAATGTGTAACACAAAGTTGAGGAAGGGGTGAGGTAAGGGTGGATCTGGGAGGAGTAGGGATGAATATGATCAAAATACATTATATGAAATTCTCAAATAATAAAAACTTCTTTAGATTCATTTTATTTTGCATGTATGGGTGTTTTACCTGAATGTATGTATGTGTACCACATGTGTGCCTGGTGCCACAGAGATCAGAAGGTGTGACATCAGATCCCTGAATCAGAAGATTGTGAACCTCCATGTGGGTTCTGGGAATCCAATCCAGGTCCTCTGCAAGAATAAGTGCTCTTAACCACTGAGCCAAGTCTACAGGTCCAAGACTAAAAACGTTTTAAAATAACAGTTGGTCATCATAAGAGAAGCTCATCTTTAGTTCCCTCTAAAATTGTAAATCTGACAAGTATGAAAAAAATATTGATAACATCTTTGTGCGTTCCAGAAAAAGAATTATAACAAAACTCACATTGCCTATAATAGAGAATTGATTGTAAAAGCAGTAACATCTCAAATATATGCAAGTACTGCTTAACCTGAATAAAATCTTTAATCTTCCCTACAAAAACAGAAGTTGATCATCAACTTTTCTGAATACAGACGGCATGAGACAGGGTGGGCCAGAGCCCTGGGTCTCATTTGGGGAGGGAAGCCCTGTGGAGAGGCGTCAAGGCTGGCTAAGGACTTTGGGCAGCACAGGGTCTTGCCTAGAGTTGGAGGCTAGTGAGAGCTAATGCAAGGAAGATTGCAAGGGCTGCACATCTGAAATGGGTGACTGCCTACCTTGTCATCAGCAGCATGTGTTCTGCTTTCAGGACAAGCACAAAACTACATGGTCACCTGCAGGTTTGTTTTCTTACCCAACACCTAAGTGCAGAGAATACGTGTCAGTGGAATGCCCAGGCACAAATAGAGCTTTTTACCACTACCCCACAACGCTCAGGGGCCACTGAGGAAGAGGGGACAGGAAGATTGTAAGAGCTAAAGGCCAGGGAGGACCAGACCAAAGCATCCAGCCTCCCAGGGTGCACTCCTTAGGGCTCTTCTGGGAACTTCAGAAGTTCTTATTCAGAATCCTCCCCTCCCATCCTTTGTGCTTTTAGTCAGTGACTGAAGTCTTGACGTCTTGCCTGGATTGGCCAGGTGGTTGTCTGGACCCTGCAAAGAGGAAACAGAGGAAGAAGGACTCTCTTGGGAGTACCTGCTCTGGCCTTAATCCACCCTTAAGCTCACAGGGATGTAGACAGACCCTTTTCCTAAAAAATATGTAGAAAAGCCAGAGAGCCAGACAGCTCATGCATTAACTTGTAGAGGAAGTCCTGTGGGTTTAGGGATGTGGGATTTCTGGAACAGCCTGGATTACACGAGACGCTTGTTGGATGTGGGTAAGACATACATCTTGGCTTTTCCATTGAGGTCACAGTAAATGAGTCTGCCTCTCTCTCCCTGAATCCTGGCCTGCCACTGAAGTAAATGCTCCCAGAAACTCAGAGGGCAGATGAGAAGGGTTGCTTCAGGGTTCAGGGCAACCCCTGGGATCACTATTAAGTTCCCTGTCTCTCTGCTTTCTCTCCCACAGGACCCAGCCGCCGCCTCTATCTCAGACGGAGACTGTG